TTATGAAAATATGCCAGATAAATCACAAAACCTCATACGACAAGTAGATATGAGAACATAGAAGGACCTGAATTTTAACGAATTTTACGAATTTTTACGAATTATTACGACTATACACGATAAATCGAAAGAAAGAAAAATAACAAAAATACTTCAAGCTTACCATCAACGAGACGGAATTCTCGGGGGAATTTATAGCAAATATTAAACCAAGAATTAGGACAATCGACCAAGATTTGACTATAAAAATAATCAGAGAACCTCCACGGAAACTACTTTCCCACGTCCGCACACATAGCAAGGATGGAAGTACCACGGAACAAAGATTCCTCAGGAACTAATGCAAAAGTCAAAGTCGTGTTTATAATAGGAAATGTAGATGTCACCCAAACGGAACCAATGAGAGTAATTATAGGGGAAACTACCCATAAACGACGGAGATATGACTAAAACTCCTGCAAAACGAGGACAATGTCTAAAAAGCAAGCGCGAAGATTAACTAGTAACGACCGAGACAAGCTTGATAGCCCATTAGAAAGGAAAGGATCTACTCTTAATCCTCCCAAATTTCCATAATAAAAGGATCATGCGTTAATGAGAAATCCAATAACGGGAATAGCGACATCAAAAGTCCGAGCTCAGGGACAAGACGATGATTGCGTAGGATCCATAATTAAAACATACAACGAAATTTACACGGAAATTATGAAAAATAGGAAACTATAGTTATGCAAATTCTCAGCCCAAACGGTCCAGCCGTTGTGAAGTTATACCCATGACAGGAATATAGGAATCCGCATCATGTGTAATGACATGTGAGGGTGGCGATGCGCAGCGGAACTATAGTGTGAAAATTTCACTTTTTATTCAGTTTGAGAAAAATACACTGTAAATAAATCCTGTAAATAGAAGGTAGAGCGTGAAAAAGGAAGGCGACCCAAGGAGTATAAAAGGGAGACCCTTTCTGCGACCTTTCGCCCCCCCCAGAGAAGTAAGAAAATAGAGTAATATTTCTCTCAAGCACTTCTGGTTCTCACTCCAGTGCGAAAAAGTGATAGAAACAGTTAAGATTGCCTCTGTTCAAAAGGCAGCAACAGTAAGAGAAGTAAGAAAATAGAGTATTATTTTTCTCAAGCATTTCTGGTTGTCACTCCAGTGCGAAAAAGTGATATACAGTTAAGATTGCCACTGTAGTAAAAGGCAGCAATTAAGGAGAGAAATATTAAGTAGATATTTCAACAGGAGAGCTGGTTAACACTCCAGATTTCAAAGTGTAAACACAAAACAGTTATTTTGCTACTGTTAAAACAAGCAATAAAATAAAGACAAAAATAAAACGAACTCAAGGGACACTCCAGACACCATCCAAATTCATTAACTGAATAGAATCGTTGAAACTTCACCAAGTAGAAGATTAAATTCAAGTTTAAATCCAAATTAAACAACGCTACACAGAATTACACCTAGACAAATTAATAAATTTCAATAAAGAAACAGCTCCGCAGGGCTCGGTTTATCTGTAAGTCAATTCCCAGGAACTTTAAAACTAACCCATAAAAATAGAATTAGCCAAAACACTCGGATTGGTACTATATTTACAATAAACAACACTAGTACACTTCCCCATCCTAACTAAAGAACCAGGGAACAGCTTGGTGGTGGTCTCGTTTGAACCTCCCAACTGACCTTCCTTCGTTCTCTCCTTCAGCGCTTGCCTTTTAGATATTGTCCTCGTTTTGCAGGAGTTTTAGTCATATCTCCGTCGTTTATGGGTAGTTTCCCCTGTAATTACTCTCATTGGGTCCGTTTGGGGGACATCTACATTTCCTATTATAAACACGACTTTGAATTTTGCATTAGTTCCTGAGGAATCCTTGTTCCGTGGTACTTCCATCCTTGGCTACATGTGCGGACTGTTAGAACGCGGGGATTCAGACGACTCCGGAATGGAATCGGAGACTTAGCATGGAAGGACCTCGGCCTCAGCGACTCAGGCGGAGCGCTGTGCCATTGCTGGTTGTCCTAGGGGTCCCTAATTTCGGATCTAGCAGAGGGAAAGTCTCTTGGGGGAATTCATGTCGATTTCGGACTGAGGTTACAAGTTACTAGGTACATTGTATATAAGGAGGGGTCCGGAATCAAAAGGAACAAGGGTAGGACAAAAGGAGACAAGGGGGGATGGAAAGAGGAGCAACACCGAGGGTCAAGTGTTTGACTCAATGGTGTTTCCCAAAGGAGGAATGAAGGGCCAAGGCCCAAGGAGGAAGGAAAGAGGATGGGAGTCGGGAATGGCTAGCTGACTGAATAGAAGGAAGCAGCAGCCCAAATAGGAATGAGGGAGAATAGCGGAATTGAAATGGACAATGCAATAGTTGCAAAGTCCGGAGTAAGTCCGGAAAGTCCGAACTCGGAGGTTAAACTCCGGAATATTGGCAAAGGTAATTAAATGGAATGAGCTAACCAATACAATGGGTATAAGCGGAGGTGGGGTCAAAGTCCGAGGTCGGAGCTAAGACCGGAGGTTCCGGAGACGGAGACGCGAACGGGATTCTGGAGCGGAGGTCCGGAGTCGGGAGCATAGGTTTTGCGTAATCGTCTGGAAGGTGTCGAGGTTGGGGTTGGACCCGGAATGTTCCGGAGTCGGACCGAAGGTGGTGTCCGAGCCGGAGGTGGGATAACCTCTTGGGAGTCGGCAAGGAGAAAGTGACGGAAGGGAAGTAGGACTCCGGAAGTCGGAGTTCGGAGTTCCAGGAGCCCGGAGTGGAGGTCGGGATTGTATGGATATGACACGGACGTGGGAAAGTAGTTTCCGTGGAGGTTCTCTGATTGTTTTTATAGTCAAATCTTGGTTGATTGTCCTAATTCTTGTTCTAATATTTGCTATAAATTCCCCCGGGAATTCCGTCTCGTTGATGGTAAGCTTGAAGTATTTTTGCTATTTTTCTTTCTTTCGATTTATCGTGTATAGTCATAATAATTCGTAACAATTCGTACAATTCGTTAAAATTCAGGTCCTTCTATTTTCTCATATCTAATTGTCGTATGAGGTTTTGTGATTTATCTGGCATATTTCCATAATGGGTTTCCATAGTGTGACCGTTATTTCTCCTACACCGCTACAACCCTAGTCACACCTGATTAGTTGTTGTTTAATCATTTCATTTCATGAGACTAATCACAGGGTTACGATTAGACCCAGCCCAGCTGACACAGAGGCTTCTCCTGCTCAACCCTACTCTGCCACACCTGTCTTAGCACCACACACAGTCTTTGCCACTTGATGGGTCCTGGTTTTATGCCTCAGTCATTTGCTGGGTGTTTTGGTGTGGATGCATGGAACAGACCACACCAGAGGTGTGTACTGAACCTCCATCACCATGAGAGTGCTCACGACTAGTTCAGGCTATGCATATAAAAGGGTGCTTGCATCAACCATCTTCCCTGTCAACTGAACTCCCACCTGGCCCCACTTCACCCAGTACCCTGCCACCCAGTCTTCTCTTACCTCCTCCCTGTCAGGGCACACACCCTGACTAGCCCGGACCCGGACCCGCATCTGGACCCGCTTCCACCCACTGCGCTTCCCGCATGCGCGCACGCTCCGCGCGCCGCATGCTCCGGGCCCGGTTCCTACCCCTTCATGTGACTTCCGGGTATCCCCGGAAGTTTTGCTGATATTGTGGCCACTGTGGGAAGATGAGAAGTTAGCTTCCTTCTCATCTCCTTACCCACAGTAGGCAAGTGTATTCTACATTGCCTTTATCTATTCATCTCCTTACCCACAGTAGATTGTGCCCTGGATAGGGCTGGCCAGACCTGAGGCTGTGGACCATAGGGGAGGGTCATGGGGACCCAGGAGTTGTCCCCTGACAATCCGCAGATCATCCGATCCGCTAGGAGCCCTAGTCTTACGTGCTCAGCAGCTCACAATTGGCGACTTTTTGATAATTCTCTGTGACCAGAATGAAAATGAATTGCTCAAGAAGGAAATGAGCTCATCCACAAAGGTTGAAATAGCATGCTTCCTACATGGCCAGAAAAAGTCAAATCGGCCATTGGATTTTGTGCATGCAATTACTGAGCACCTGATGGCACGTTACAGACGAAAGCAGGAGCCAGTGCACCAAATCCCTTCATATGGAATCCCAACGAAGTTACCTGCGACCTCGTTCCGATCTGAGCAAGATAGGGCCCAACATTTGGATGCTGGTGTCAGGGAGTCCCAAAGAGAGTGTATGGACAGCTCATATGAAGCGCTCCAGAAGTTCTTTGTTGAAAAGGTTGTCGAGCAGGTTCAGTGGGAGACCGAGCTACTACAGAAGGACCCATCACTGTGTAGTCTTGACAATGAAAAGCAAGGCTTCTCATGGGAAAGCGTCAACGAGTTTTGTCTCAAGGACATGCAGCAAGTAATTATGGAGAAAGCTCCCATCATCTGGACAATATTGACAGCGATAGCTATCAGTGATGAAAGAGCAACATTGCTCCGGGGTCACGCAATGAATGGGAAGAGGGATGGGAAAGGGTCAAATCACATCTGAGACCCATATCTTGTAAGTCTCCATTGCCATAACTCCAAAATGCTAGGATGCATGTACATTTGTCTGTCTAGGGTTGTACTGTGGGGCTTAGTATGATGCTGAGCTTCAGAAACCAGAGGATCAACTGTATTCAATCAATTCTCGGCATGTTGATGTTTGCGACGAATACAAACCAAACCACAGTTTCAATTTTGAGATGGATTGGCCTCGTGGTTGCACACAGTACAACACATAACCAGCTTCACATGGCAGCAGCAGGTGCATCAGCAAATATTAAGGCAATAGGGTGTCAAGTGGTTGAGAACAAGGTGTCAGTTCACCTTGTCTACGATAACCTGAATCAGTACCACCAGGCGTGGAGGCCATCACTGGATAACCACACATCCCTAGAAAGTGGCACTGCTGCCACTCTCATTATTCAGCAAGATGTAGAGGATGGTGCATTTGATGGTATCGAGTATGAGCAGTGGAGGACCTCAGTACGAAGACAGGACATACGAGAAAATTTGGAGCGATATTCAATTTGATCACCTGGCTGCCATTGGGACTACCAACATCCTCCGGATTCTTCTTGAATATGTCCCTGGCCTCGAACGTCATCGCAGTGCTGTTCAGCATTTGTATGCGCATTGTTTTGCGAAGCATCCTGTTCAGATGCAGAAGACCGAGTATTACCCAATGGAGACAAGTTCATTCGATGAAGCACAGAACATTGGGAACCGTGAAGTCCTCAAAGACCTCTTAGTGCGCCAACTTAGTATCAAGCCAGAGGAACTTGATGGTCGCATGGTGTCTATCTCTGGTGATTGCTTGACTGTCGCGAAGCTTCGTTCTCTCAAGCACCATACCTCTTGGGGGCTGTCTTGGTTCACATCTCACAAATTTGCATTAATATTGACGGAATTGTGGCATATGAAATGGGCATTCATCAAAGGGATCTTTCGACTTCATTGGGCACCAACTACAGCGAAGGGCGACTCTGGTTTGCATGTTGCAGCAGAAAAACTTCGACGAAAGCTCAATTTGAGTGACCCTGAGTTTTACCCAGCTGAACGGCTTGTAGAAACTGTGCTAGCAACAATGACACTCCATTATGCAAGGTATAGTCTATTCTTTATCCATTAATTGTTATGACATTGGTCTTTTTCCACAGAGTCATCCTTCAGCAAAGGGAGTCATCCCATTTCATTTCCAAACTACATCGCCCTCCACACTTGATTGAAGAGCTGAACCTTCATTCATCGCCAGGTGGCTTCTTTCAAACTTGTACTATTGACTGTCAGAGACCAGATTCGAGACAAGGGAGTGTCTCCGTAGCGGAGGGCTTTGGCCTCAGCGACTTCTGCCAAGAGCGCTGTGCCTAGTGACACGTCCGTGCCCTAACTTACTGACTGGCAATCAGAACCGAAGGGGGGTAACTCTAGTTGATTTTACTACTGGGGTGTAACCTATGTACAAGTGGGATATATATATGGTTACAGTGAAGACGGTCCGCAATTGGCGGAGCCGAATGGAGCGGAGCTAACAGGGTTTAAACATTAGCCGACTGAATATTACCGACGAGTCAGGTCACAGGGTTAGCGGAAAGGCAGGCGATAACCCAGAAACGGAAAGGAGGGATAGGCCCAAAGGTGGGCTCTGCAGGGCAGGCGAGTGTATTGCCCAGCGGAGGCGGGGGTGCGCTAGCAGACGTCAGAGCTGTCCGGAAGTCTTCGGGGCTCCGTACTTAGGGAGGCGTAGGTAATAAATTGAAATGAGGGGGTGGTGACCATTGAGGGGTACCGAGAGGATTGCGGAATATGGGAGCTCCAAGGTTAGTGAGGGAGGAGCGGAGTTAGACCGGAGGGATCGGAGGAACCGGAAGTCAATGGCCAGGGATGGATATGACATTGACGAGCTATATAACTTGGTTCACACCATCTATGCTGCGTTTGCATCATCTGAATCTGCATACATGGCGCTTCATCACAACACTCACGATTCCATGCAATATTTTCGACATTACATCAATCCTTTGCTTGATTCTCTCTACCCAGTCCCACAAGAGCCGAATACTGTGGTGAATGTGAGCCCTGATGACCCGGATGATAGCAACAATGTCAACGATGAAGGCAATGATGGTGTGTCTGTTCCAGTTGGACAGAGTGGGCTTAGTGGGGAAAACTCCGATAATCTTGACCACTTCGAGGACACCGCACCTCTCTGTTCTCCAGACTTGGATACCGGCAGTGACATCCTTCTTTTCAACAACATTCTCCTCTATCATGATATGCTATTTTACTGGGAATTTAGGTTGAGTATCAAGGACAGCGATATTGGACGAACCTTTGAGGTAATCAAGGTGTGTTAAACCACTTCTTCTGTGTCTATTACTCGCCCACCAGCACCCTTTATCCCAGTGGCTTCGAGTGTGGTTTTTTGGAGCTGGTGCTACCAATTATGGTCAAGAGTTGCTGCATCAAGCCCTTGATCTCTGGTTCCACTTCACCGAAAAAATGAAGAATGCAGTTTTTAACAATTATGTCATTAGCCCATCTGGGAGGGGCAATGGTTGCGAACAAGACCTGCTTCAAGAGCACACCAACTTCTGGCTCAAGCAGTTTTTAATGGACGCTTGGCCAAGTTTGATTCCAGCTTCTTGCACAAAGCTGTCACGCTGAATATTAAGGAATTTGCCCAAATGATTTTGCAAAAATTTGGCCTCACCAACATATTTTCAGGGTGCTCAAAAGCAGATATTGCGGCGGACATCAACTTCCTTGGCCATTCATATCTTACACAGCACCACCATATCTACCAGCCTGGCCGAGTTCAGTCTTTCTTGGCAGTGGACAGTATTGAGCGAGGATCTGCCAAGCTTGAAGAGGGGGCATTACAGAAGTTTCTCGATAAGCACTTCTATCAAAAATAATTGTAGAATATAAATCCCAACAGATTTTTGACTATCTCTTGTTTGCTTCTAGATTATACCATGCACGTTCAGTAAGCTTGATCACGCGTGGCCCAGTGACCACGTCCCCAACCACTGTATTCTGACTCATATGAACACACTGTATTCTTCCACCCATCAAGTCATTGCTGCCTCCACCTATTGCTTTGGTTCTACCTCCATCCATCACCCCATTTTCACATCCATCCATTCCTTCACTTCTGTCTCCATTCCCTTCAGCGACCTCATTGCTTCCCACCACCTTCTTGACCTTGTTTGTCAGCACACGTTTCTGGTTCTGTGCTGCATACTGGTTGTTCAACCTCTGGATAAGGTCCCACAGAGAGTTTCGCTGGGCTGGCGTCATCCGTGAGATGGTACTCAACCCTGCCAAGTAGTTGAGTAGCTTCGGTTCCACTGTGAAGGAATGCAGGTGTTCTGTGAGTTTTTTAATCTCTCCATTGCTAAGGATTTGTCCCGGGGTGAGATTCTGCCGCAGAGGTTTGGGAAGCAAGAACCAAGCATTTTGTCGCCAGGTAGTAAGTTGTGTGAGTGCCTCAACTTTCTGTTCCTTTGTGAGTTCTTGAAAATTTTTGGGTCGATCTTTCGGAAGCGGCAATGCAGTTGCCTTTGTGGTCGCTTTCTGGTGTGCAATTCTGGCAATGTGATTTTTCACCATGTCCTCATCATGGCGGAGAGTCTCGGGCTGGCATGACTCGCAGCAAACGGGTGGCTTAATGAACGTATCACCATAATATCCACAGAACACAGATCTTTGACAGCTGCCGGAAGGAGGATTGAAGAATGTGATGAGGCCTGGTGCAATTTTGGTTTGGAATTCCCGATGTGTGGTGATTTGTGTTTGTGTTAAGGGTTTTCTTCTTACTGATCCATCGACATAGGTCCCGTCATCCTTTGTGGATTTATCACACATTTCTGGTGTGATTCTCATATCATCGGGCCCATAAACAATAAATGTCCCACCACTCCCATCCCGACTTGCACGACCTGCCCACTGTGTCATTTCCTCAAATGACTTCGGCAAGTCTACACACACAACCCGCTGGACAGGTAAGTTGAGTCCTACATTTGCACAGATGGTAGCAACAACATATCGGATTGTTCCAGAAACTAGCCAAGTGCGTATCTTTCCACGATCTTCCTTATGGAGTTCCACATGGAATGGCCAGACCAGATTGGGTGTGTCAATGGCTTCTGCAGCCACTTTGCGTAGTTCATGTATTAGCCATTTGCTGAACATCATCATTTTCTCCACAGTGTTGATGTCGAATATTGTTGGTGTAAGATCGGATGGTGACTCAAGTTTTTGGGGGATTGCCCATGCGAAATCTGGGAACTCAAGCCCCTCGACAGAGTGATAACGTATGCAGGCACAGTACTTAATGTCAGCCCGATCCACAGGGAGTTTAACGTCACTGAATTTTGACCCATGGAAGCCCAGCATAAACTGAATCTCTGACTGAGCTTTCTGATTCACAGAACCAGACATAGCCAAGAATGGGACATTGGATCCAATACGTGAGCGTACCTCTGACAGCACCTTATGCTTTGGTTGGAACTTCTCCCAATCCTTCACTAAGTGAACTTCGTCTATTACACAGAACCCCAACATTCTATGAAACTCGGACCCATGAAGGAGTTTGCTAGCCACGCTTTCAGTAAGCATTTCTGGACTCATTCCTATCACGTCCCACTGAAGATTCTGGGCCTCATCCCATAGATTTCGTTGATCGCATGCAAAGGCTTCGGCAATTGTTTCCGCATTAATTGCTATAAATTGAACGTTTTTATTCCTCGCATTTGTCTCCTGGAACAAAATTCAGATGGTTTGTTCAGGTTTGTCCTTCAGTTGTAAACCCATACCTGATCCACCATCAATTCTACAGTAGGGTAGACAACAATGGCGATGTGCGGCCTCTTCAACACTCGGCATGCAATTACAGGCGCCATTGTCAACATTGATTTCCCACTCCCGGTCCGAGATGTAAGAAACACATCTATATTCTGGCAAAGATGTATTGCATTTTGAGTCTGCCATGGATGTGGCTCCACACAAAACCAGATATTGAATATAGCGGTCATCCATGGGACAGTCTCTGGTGTATACGGTTCCAATATCTCTCGAAGCCATTCAATTGCATGGTTATAGTGTGAATCCTGTTTGTCCCACAGCCTCTCATTGAACTTGGGGAGAGAAGTTAATCCCTCCATCGCGAGGGTGAAATGAAAAAAGATAATCAAAAGAGGCTGGCTGGCATCTACCAAATAAATTGCTTAGTCATCTGCTCACATAACTATGCTTACACAACTGGACCCTTTTGCAACCATTCAGTAGACCAGCAATTCAGTCACCCATCAAGTGAAATAAGACTAGTTTTGGGGCTGGCCAAGGGATTTTTTCTGTATTGTAGCACTTCTCACAACTTTTCTTTCTTTTTCTTTTTCTTTTTCTTTGGTGGAACCCTCCGTAGCTTGCGCTGGGTAGATTTTACTACCGGGGGTGTCCCCTGGGTGGTTATGGTGGTTGGTTTCACTTTGGTCTCACCTTGTTTGGTACTCTTTGCACTTGGTCCTTATCCTGTAACTCCACCGTGGGGAAATGCATTTACACACTATACATCATGTGAGTGTTGGGCTCGCACCGATCCGGGGATCACTGGCCTTTAGCCAGTTAGCAGGAGTGTTTTCGTTTTCGACTATTAGGTGCTTCCAGTCCCGAGGGTGCAGTGGCAATAGCCTATTGCCCCCTTCTTCTATAGATTTTTTTTTTTAAAACTCAAATGGAAACAACAGCATGGTTTCACATGTAAAAATAAGCGCCTCTAAAGGGATCTGTGTGCTTTCGTCAGCTTGAGGAAAGCCTATTGCAATAGAAAGAGTGTCGGCACCTCCAGGAGGAACAGAAATACAGTGACAACTTGAGTCACAATTTTTGTGACACAACAAGCGGTGATGCACACTCTGTTCCTCCAGGGGGAACAGAAAATGCAGTGACAACTCGTGTCACAATTTTTGTGACTGAACCGGTGATGCATACTCTGTTCCTCTAGGGGGAACAGAATGCCTCTGTGACAATATTTTGTTACAATATTGTGACACAAAAGCGGTGATGCACACTCTGTTCCTCCAGGGGGAACAGAAAATGCAGTGACAACTCATGTCACAATTTTTGTGACTCAACCGGTGATGCATACTCTGTTCCTCTAGGGGGAACAGAATGCCTCTGTGACAATATTTTGTTACAATATTGTGACACAAGCGGTGATGCATACTCTGTTCCTCCAAGGGGAACAGAATGCCTCTGTGACAATATTTTGTTACAATATTGTGACACAAGTGGTGATGCATGCCCATTCAAAAATTTCCACTATGCTTTCGTCAGCTTGAGGAAAGCCTATTGCAATAGAAGGAGTGTTGGCACCTCCAGGAGGAACAGAAATACAGTGACAACTTGAGTCACAATTTTTGTGACACAACAAGCGGTGATGCACACTCTGTTCCTCCAAGGGGAACAGAAATGCAGTGACAACTTGTGTCACAATTTTTGTGACCCAACCGGTGATGCATACTCTGTTCCTCTAGGGGGAACAGAATGCCTCTGTGACAATATTTTGTTACAATATTGTGACACAAAGCGGTGATGCACACTCTGTTCCTCCAGGGGGAACAGAAATGTGTGACAAAGTTCTGTCACAATAATTTTGTGACACAAGCGGTGATGCATACTCTGTTCCTCCAAGGGGAACAGAAGTGCATCTGTGACAACTTGTGTCACAATATTTTTGTGACCCAACCCGTGATGCATACTCTGTTCCTCCAGGGGGTACAAAACCCTGGAACCCTAGGCCCCCTCTTAATTCACCCGAAGAAATCGATCCAGGAATGCAGCGGCAATTAACCTGAATCGGCATGACTGCAACCTCGGAAGGCACAGTATGCGTAAGGCCGACAGCAGGTACGGCGCATAAGATGAAGCATCACCGGGAATTGTGCCAGATGCGAAAGAAAAATAGAGAGTGCGTTTTTAGACCGACGACACACAAGTCTAATTGTACCTCCATTAAATAACAAAGAATATTATCCATCGGTAATTGGAGATTACTTGACAGCGAAAATAAAAGAAATTATTGCAGATACATAAATTTCGAAATAAAGATCAACGTCCCAGTGCACCTGCCTTCGCCAGCTGGTCTGCTCGATCATTCCCCTGGATACCACAGTGAGCTGGACACCAGCGCACTACCACGTCAAGACCTTGGTTATCCTGCAGTACCGCTTTTATGTTGTCCTGGAACTCTTCAACGTAATCTCGGCCCAGGCGCGGATTCGGCTGCATCATGCGTTCGATGGAACCTACATCATCTGCGAAGAAGATGACGTGGGCTGGTAGCTGGGTCGCGTTGGGATCCTCGAAGACACATCGCATCTCCTCCGAGGCCACCTGTAGCCCCATCATTTCCCCCTCGAAACACTCGACGCCCACTCCCATCGCCCCTTTCTGCTGAAATACCACCGCGCGGTTGGAATAGCCAACCACGCCATACCCTGTCTTCCTGACCCCATTGTCCCAAAGTTGCGAGCCATCGCTGTACACGAACAGGTATGAAGGGTCGCGCTCATGTTGAGCGATGTAGTTTTGGTGGGCATTCGCCCAAGGCCACTTGCGCGATGTTCTGCGGGGTTTGGGTGGAATGCAACATGACATTTGAGTGAGGCTCATAGTCATTCAGCTGAGGCTATTCGAGGGGGAGTAAAGAGCGTTCGAATGCAATCGAAAGTGTTCGCAGCGATCGAATGGCGATCAGAATGAGTTCACAGCGTTTGGATTCGTTCGCACCGGGAGAAGTCAGGGTGTAGGAAAGGATATAGCACGTCAGAGTTCACGTATCACCTGTTGATGTGCCAACTGATGAGCGTTTAAACGTTTTGGACGATGTGCCGCACGACAGTAAGGCAAATGAGTGCGGCAGACTCATTCTTTCATTTTTCTCTAGCTGACAATGATCTCTGCCGTCCCAAGTGCATCTCCCCTCCGCCCCGTCCCCACCACCGCAACCGCAACTCCTCGTCACCTGCAGCCTTGCCGCGTGGCATGTGAGGTAAGGTAAGTGGTCGATTGCCAGTGCCATGAGAGCTGAAGCTATCCCCCTGCGCCGCATCTCCCTCCCCCACATCCCCGCCATTTCGGACGAAGCTGACGGCGTTGTTATATTCGTCGAACGCTGTGCCGTACCGTCTCATTTGGAGTGGTTGGGTGGGATCTAGGGACGGTGGGCCATACAGGACTTGCGGATCGCGCGCATGGCCCTTTTCTGATGCCCCGCCACTGCCGTCGTCGTCGCCGTCGAACGCCGTGAGGAATGATTACAAAGAAATACCCGCCCGTCGGGTTCCCTTGAGGTACGCGTTGTGAGGTTTTCAGGCTGTACCCGGATTTGCTCGCTGATTTTTCGCCAACGTCGTTGTCGGCCCGGGAAAGAAACAAAGCTTTGCTAACCGTTGGTGCTGCAGGCGCTATTGCCGGAGCTCCGATAATGATGATCCCATTTTGATGAGTTCAGGAGCAAGTGCCGGTTCTAGCAGGGCTACTGGCTTAGCAACTCTGCTGACTGGAGGGGCTGATGCTGGCACTGGGGATGCTGGCGCTGGGGATGCTGGTGCTGGAGTCCTGATGATGGTGGGTGATTCATGGCCAGATGATCTAACTTTGATTACCTCAGGTGCGGGGCAGGTTCTACTCGGGTTACTGGCTCTGCAGCTCTGCTAACAGGCGGCGTTGTGGGTGCCATGGATGCTGTATGTCGATACTAGCAGTGATGCTGATGACGGCGCTAGTGATGACACTGACGCTGGTGCTGGTGCTGGTGCCAACACTAACGATGGTGCTTGTGATGGAACTGACGCCGGCGCCGGTGCTGATGCTGAAACTGGCATTGGTACTGGAGTATAGTATCGGTGAGCTAGTGGCCCAGTGACTCTGCTGATCGAAGAGTGGAGCAGGGGAGGGGGTTACAACCCAGCCACTGGCCCAGCGGCCCGAGGTGGGAGGTGGAATGCTGATCTCTTCAGCAGCCACGGACTCAGCAGCCAACCGAGTCGAAGAGCAGGGGACTTGCCAGAAGACTCTCTGTCCGCTTCTAGTGCGATTTGCGCGCGACGTAAGGTTTCAAGAGGAACGGATGGGAGGGCAATGCTTCAATCCAACCATCACTCACTCGTGGACGACTTACTTCACGTTCCAAAGACGGTCCGCGATAGATCGCTGTTGCTTGTACCGAACAAGACAACATGGGCGGCACGGAGGCTACTCTCCTGAACCTCATGAAGGGGGCGACGCCATGGGCCATCTCGATTTTCTTCCTCTTCATCCTCCCCTTCATGATGATGTGGACGACGACGACGCTGACAATGACGCCTTCGACGTCCCACTTCATCCTCCTCATCACCTATGCCAGGGGAACGACGGAACTGACGCTCTACGCTCTTCTACTGTCGGGCCGCTCAAGTCGCGTGTGAGCATCAATTCAGAGACATCTGAAGTCAGAGGGCTAGTATATGTTCACTCTGCCTAAAAGGTACGAATTCTATCCCCAGTTCTTCGAGTGTTGCTGCCTCGAGTTCTCGCTTAAAGCCTACTTCGCTGCTCAGCCTACCATACTGCGGCCACGAGGAAGCACAAACTTGTGTATAAAGCTCATACAGCGGCTCCAAAATAAACTGTACGAACGAGCGTTTATCCTCTGGGTCCGATTGTTGCCGGGTGAATTGGCGGGGGTATTAGTATCGAAATAAATGTTTCCCCATAGTCGGAGAGCAAATCCTTTTATGTCGACGGAACATAATTACGCAAGACATGTAAGGTGCCATTCCGCGTAAGACAGCCCACATACCGTAGATTTTGAGCATACATATCCGCAAAACTTCTTAGCGTAAAGCAATGACCCATGTCTGAGCTGGCGAATGCCACATTTCTTCGTTCAGGGCGAAGCCTTCAGGGTCTGGACTAATGGCCCCGATAATGGGATTTGCCTCCACGATAGTGGCCTTAATCTGGTAATAAGCGTCGGGTGGCGGTATGCGGAGCTCGAGATCAGCCTGTCGATTGTGTTGACTAAGAGAGTGATGGCGACTCCTTGGGCTATGGCATGATGAATAATGGATTTTATATTTGTTATTGCCTGCTTCTTCGAGCATTGCGACCTCGAATTCTCGCTTAAAACCTACTTCGCTGCTCAGCATACCATACTGTGGCTACAGAGAAGCACCAACCTGTGTATAAAGCTTATACAGTGGCTGCAAGGTAAACTGTACGAACGAGCGTTTATCATCTGGGTGACGGTCACCCTAGTCAGCATCATATTACGTTTCCTTGTAGGTGGGCGTTGACTTCGACGACCATCGCGTTCCTCTGGAGTCCCACGACGAGGAGTGGGATGGGATGGGAGACGTGACCCCGGGTGTTACTGTAAAGAAAGGAAAGGATATCACGACGAGAGGGAGTGGGATGGGATGGGATGGGAGATGCAACTCCGGGTATGGTAAGAGAGAATAGAATGGAATGGGAGGCGTGACTCCAGGCAGTGTAGCTGTAAAGAGAGGATAACAACGTTAGGGTGGTGGGTATCGCTATCCTGAGTGCGTGCCTTACTGTTTTTTGATTGCTGGGACACGCGAACCCAACGACCGCGACAGGTAGGTCGCAACGCCGGAAGTACTAGCTGTAAATACAAAGAGAACAATGATGTCAGAACAATAGATTCCGCTATCCTGAGTGGGTATCTTGCCGTTTTTTTGGTCCCACAGCAGAGCAGTTGCCGGAGTAAGCAACGCGATGACGGCAACGTGCCTCAATGCCGGGAGCCTCAGCTGTAAACACAAAAAGTTCAAATAATAGGTCCCGCTATCATAAGTGGGTATCTCTCTCACCATTTCTCTGGTCCCACGGCAGCGTGTTTGCTGGGGTAAGAAACGCGACGATGGCAACGTGCCTCAGCGCCAGGAGCCTCAGCTGTAAATATAGAGTGCACGTTGATATCAGAATAATCAACATCACGATCCTACCCGAGTATCGTACCATTTTTCTGCACCAACAGCAGCGCCATTGCTGGGTCACGCAGCTTGATGACCACAGCATGCCCCAGCACGGAGAGCCCCAGCTGTAAAGTACCAAGGCTGCAATAATGTCAGGATAGCAAATGACACTAACCCTAGGTGTAATATCTCACCGTTTGTCTCAGGCCCATAGCTGCATGGTTGCTGGGGTGCGACGACCAACAGCCAGGTGTTTGGCCATGTTTGCTTGTATTTGTTTGGTTCGGTACCGAGAGAATCTCAACATCGTTCAACCATCAGGTATGTGGCTTGCAGCATCGTCACCATACACTGTCCTTTGCCTCAGCAATAATCCTCCCGACGTCTTTTTCGTCCTTCACAAGAAAACAATTTTCCTTGCACAAGGTTAGTGCCCCATGATGCTTTCCTTCATCGCGCGACTCTCTGATAAGAAATCAACCAAGTCATGATAATTTATCGAAATAATGGCCGAAGCCTTCTACATCAGTATACTGAAAGCGTCACCTCAATCGGGGCCCCATCCTATTTCAGCGTACGACTATTTTCGCCATTTTCTTTGTCGTCACAGGATGTTGGTCGCTTTTCGAACTTTGTACCCAACCAGAATGGCCCCCCAACCACAGCATTCGCTCATTTGAAGCCCGAATATGTTCTTCTATCCCTCAATCAATGCAGCAAAGTTGAATGGAAACACAATGCAATTCCGTCAATGCTCCACTCGCTGCGGATTGACACATTGATTATTCCGGAGACAATACACATTGTGTATGAGAAACTCAAGATGAATGTCAAAGTTGCGATCCGGAAGCTGCAGGAGGGTCTGTGGGAGGGCGTGTTGGATTACGGTAGATTAATAATTCTTGCACGAATATCATTGCTAGCTCAATTGTGGTAACGCTTCATGCCACCCAAGTGAAAAAAAAAAATTTAATGTCTGATCCGTTTGAGGGCCGAACTGGCGTTTTTCTGCAGGTCTGACTTGTCTGAGGGCCTAAATGAGGCCAGGGGACTCAAAATTTGAGGGCCGAAATGGGGGTCTTCCGATCGGACCTCTAATGGAGTATGCCGGGGTCCTGCATTTACGTAACGCAACAAGGAAGGTGCAAGAACCAGCTGTTGCTGGAGTCAACCTTGAGTCTTCCCAACCCTTCAGGATGCCAATTTCCACCCCACCTCCAACTCCAGTGCCGTCGGCTGTAGGAAGGTTGCTACAGGACACGCCACAAAGTCGTGGAAGTGCAAGCAACACATCTTACGATTCCAGCTTCACCCAGAAGGACTGCCAGCCATACCTTCTGACTGACATGGAAGGCGGAAGGACATTACCCCTGGAAGACTTCATGACATATATCCTCGGAGCAGATAAAAAGGCTCTCAGCAGACCAGCTCGTAACGATGCAGAGTTGAACGCTTTGGTAGATCATTACAAGAATCTCCAGGTCACTGACGAAACACAGCGCTACCCCGGATTCGTTGAGATAGTAAACAAGATCATTGCGAAAAGGAAGGGAGAGGTGCGGTTTTGCCGAAACGATCCTACTCCATTGACAGGATCTCATGCAAAGAGGAAACCAGACCTTGTATGCGTCCCTTCTGGTGTTGACGGAAGCTTGGGGGGAGGAAGGCTCTGCCCAGATAACTTGTCGAAAAATGGGCCTAGGGAGCACCCGTTTCATTGGGCGGAAGTGTTGTTTTTTTGCGAAATGAAGAAGGTTCGTGGTTCATGGAGTGAATGGATCGAGCAGAACCGTGAGTCGTTGTCCATATTTAATTTCTTAATTATAGTTTTTTTTGCCTAGGCAAACCCAAATCAGCAAACACACAGAAGCAGTCCACCTCTAAGCCTCCTTTGACGCCTGGCACTTCAACGCCCGGCAAGCGTTCAAGTGACAGATTGAACTCTCAGCAGAGGCTGCCAGAATACCCAATACCCCTGCCACTGCCAGAGCATGAGCTAGTTGTGCCGGCTTCCCAACCCCCAATGCCATCGGCACTGATAAGCAAGGAAACGCCTGAATGGGAGGCTATGGAAAGCTTATTGCCAGAACCCTCTGGAACAAAGGCCAAGACAGAAGGAACCATGCGTCCCGAGTTGGTGCAATGTGGCAGCTATGCACTTGAGTTCCTTTCCAATGGGGGCTTGCGCAGCCATGTCCTTGGGATGCTGGTCACAGATTTTCAGGTAGAGCTTCTCTATTTCGACCGCTCCATTCACATCGTTTCGAGCCCGCTGGATTTCATAGATGAGTGGGCAAAGTTCGTGTCAGTGGTAGAGCGGCTGGCTTCTCTCAAACGGGACGACTATGGTTTTGAGGATTTGATACCTTGCGAGCGATATCAACTTCCTCGCGACTGTAATCAGAATGCTGTTAAATGCGATGGACAACCGTTGGGGCTGTTCAATAACATCAAGATCAACCTACAGGAGATAGAGATTTGCCTGGGAAAGATTTTATCTCAGCACCACGGGCTCAATGGACGGGGCACGAAAGTTATAGGAGGTTCTTCTGAGCAATGGCCTGGGACGAACATCATTACCAAGTTGAGTTATCCTCCAGCATCAAGAGTATCAGAGTATGATATTGTGGAGCATGCTGTGGAGAAGGCAAGAGAGGCAGGAAAGGAAGGAAAGCTGGACATGTCGCTGCATCTACCAAATATCCTGCGTCGGGTGGATATGAAAGGACGTGTTCAAGAACGCCTTTCACAGCTTCTCGGGAACAAGTATGAGATGCGTGTTCTGAGAGTGATGGTGCAAGAACATCTATTCCCAGTCACGATGTTGACCCTTCCTCACTTGGTGTGCTCTGTGTATTACAGTGTGATCAAATGTAAGTAGGGAGTGTGGTGATTTTAAATTGATTTAGATTGATTTATCTTTCTCTCAGGTCATGAGTGGCTATGTGAAATTGCACATGTCCTGCATCGTGATGTCAGTCTGAACAACGTTATGTGGCGGGCAAAGAACAACGAGGTCTATGGTGTCCTAAACGACTACGACCTTGCAATCATGATGGACGATCATTCCAGGGAAGCTTCATCGAATCAGCGGACAGGCACACGACCATACTTGGCAAGAGATTTCCTTTGCGACCTACCTCCTCGCCATCTTCCACGTCATGACATTGAATCCTTTGTCTATGTTATGGTGGCCCATTTGTCACGTTATGAGCAGGGCAAGGTGATACAGCCAGAGCCACTAGAGGATTGGTTCAAATCTTCCCACTCGGTTCTGTTAAGGGTGAAGAAAGATTTTCTGTATGGCGCACTCTGTCCAACAAAGAACTTTAAAGTACTCAAACCTTTAATGGAGGAGTGGGTAATGTGCTTGCGTGAGGGAGCGGAGTGGGAGCTCCTTAAGAGAGCTCCTGAGCCTGAAGGAGGCCAAGTGACTGACTGGGAAACACTTGGGGGTTGGATCACCCATAAGCGGATCTTGGACGCATTCACCCCCCAAAGATGATTCTTGGATCCCGGATACTCCTGTTTTCTGACATTGTTGTTTCATCTTTCGGCTTGTTCCTACCTCTCTCTTCCTCTTCTTTGTTCTTCCTGTTAGACGTGATTTTTGTACTTACATTCACTGCATGGATACTAAGCGCTCGATGTCGCCCTCTCGATCCTGATGGTGTGCATGTGGAGCAGCGAGCAACTCCCGAACAGTACGTTCAGACAATCAATCCCAAGGCCTCAGCAATCTCTTGTTGGGTCATCCTCGAAGATAGTGACACTAAGATGTCTTTTGCGCTGCGCTCAAGATGTATTCCTATGTTAGCTAGACAGAGTTAACCGTTTGTTGATGCAAGGGCAATGATGGGCGCTTAAGCACCACATTTAGGGGGAGTTCTACGGTGCCATTGGGGTTTCCATTCAAATCCTGATTCTGGTAGTGGGTGACTCCACCCCAGATCGCTTCCGTCAAAATCGAAACCGGCAGATTTTTTTGCACTTCGCTGTATCTTCACCTGAGCTCATGGGTATTTCAGCTGGGGTATTGATTTGCATCTTCATTTCTGTGTGCATAGATGCTGCTCTGGGGTGCCAGGGACTTAGGTGCCCAGGGTGCCGAGACCCTAAGGGTACTAGGGCATGGAGTGCTAGGGTATTGGGGTCAAGTCCCAGGGAAATTTTTTGAACCCTAGCGACCCAAGTCTAGCCTATAACCTTCTGGAGCTCATGTGCACAACATGTTTCTCCTTGGAAAAAAAAAGTTTATTCCTCCGCAAATTTTTGTACTACCTATACTATGAGCCCCTTCAAAACAACACTACCAAACTCACGCAACATAAGCAAAAAACATTGTCCATGCTGCAAAAAAACTCTGCCTCTTGACAGTTTCCAACCCACCCCTTATGGCCTGTCCTCTGGCTGTGCCTCATGTCTTGGACCCAGCGTGCCAAGGCATCAATCCAATAAAGAGGAAGTTTTTGCGAGCACCCTTGAAACCCTGCCAACACTTCATGATTTCTATGCTCAGCTTGAAGCAGCCAAAGACAGAGAAATTCTCACCCATACCATTCTTTTCCACATAGAGGGTGCCTTTCGGTTCATCCGAATTACTATTCCAGGCAAGGATGACATCCTAAGAACTATGTAAGTCCCCACTCCACGCACGGTGTCGAATGCCATGTGACCTCGGAATTTTGTCCCACATGTGATGTGAAGGCGTGAGAAGATTCTGTTTTCCCACGTACGTTGCCTTGCCCATGTGACTGGATGGGAGGATTACTCCCATAGCTAACCTGAGAATGCCATTACTAACTTCGCCCACACCGGCTTAGAACTTCGCATATCCAACATGCAATCGACTTCGCGCTCGAAACGAATGGATCCGTCGCTAAGGCCTCCTGGCCTTAGCTCTTCTAGCTTGTGCTCAGCGTGGGGCGTCGTGTGACTCGCTCACGGGCTCGGGATTGTCATCGATTGCTGGAACTCGAAGCTGAAGCTAGGGCCGGGAGGCCTTAGCTCTTTGGGCTTGAACTGGCGACGCTGGGGGTTCTCATGTCGCATACAATGGCTGGCCTCGGCGCTGCCTCGGTAGGAATCGCGCGCGCGGGCTCGGGATCGACGTCAGACGGCAAACTTGATGCTAAGGCCTCCCGGCCTTAGCTCTTTTGACTTGAGCTCACTGTACTCTGGCGCTGTGAGGTCGCAGGATCATATTCTGTACTTGGGGGGCTTCATCGACGTCTCCAGCGCGAAAACTCGGGGAAAATCGAATAGAAAGTGGAAGGAATGTGGGTTTAACGTGTACAACTCGAATGAAGGGCGTCTGGTTCGAATGTCACGATATCGAGGACTAATGACGTGTCCGGCTTGGATAAACCTTGTACTCGACGTGTAAATAGTCGATATGCGGTATGGAATGAAGAAATGACGGTGTAAGAACTCGAAGGAATCTTGGAAAATGATCTAGGGCGAGGGTGGGTCTATGCTCGGAAAAAGATGCCCTCCGGCATCGCGAGTTTGCGGGTATTGCCAGGGAACTCGGTGTCCTGGATGTGCTGGGCCTCTGGTTTTGTTGCAAGCTCACACACGAGTGGGGCCGACTGGCTGCCCAGACCGTGCTGCGTCTCTAAGGTCTTATCCGGATCTTTCTCGGGTGAAGGAATATAGCCTTTATCCAGCTCAGGCTCAGCATGCGGCGTCTTAGCATTGCCGGGCGCTTCAACGTCTTGGCTAGCGTTGTACAACTCATGTGGGTCACTCAAATACCACAACACTGCACGAGTCACCTCTGGACTCGATCCGTCAATATGCTTGAACTCGGTCTCGGCGTCGTTACATTCTTCAACGATGAATGGCTCTGAGTCGTTAAGCAACTCGGACTCGGTTCTGGACTTGGCTTCGGCTTGATGCTCATGGCGTATCTCAACTGCGCACTTGACATGTCGGACTGCTGCGGCTGGTTCTGAGTGACGTGGGGCGCTCTGTGGAACAGGACTTCGGCTATCACTAAGCCTCGCCTGGTTGACTCTGCATGTCTCGGGTGTGAGGATCAGCGCACGCGGGGGTAACTTCACATAATCTTGATCAAGCGACATCCTTGGCAGTACTCTAGTTGCCTTGGCTGGAATGACGCGTTCAACCAGCAGCAATTGCTTGGGAATAAACACCTTGTTGCGTGACCTCGCGCGGCAAAGTTTGCTGTAGTTAGCCGGGCGAAACTCATGATAGGACCCGATCGACTGGGCTCCTCGACTTCATTTGGGCAAACAAGGTCAGTCGATTCGAGGCTGTGAGGCCTTAGCTCTTTATGATTGAGCTCTGGTTCAATGGGATCTTCAGACATGGCAACGGGCTCGGCTTCACAAAGGCTCTCATCACCATCAAGATACGAGTCCAGATCGAAGATGTCATAAACCGTTCCACCGAAATCCTCATCATTGGGGCGCAAATCCAGGTCGGAGGTGTCATAGGCTATCTCACGAAAGTCATCGTCATTGGAGCGCGAGTCTAAGTCGGGGATGTCATGGAGGACTTTTTCGTGGGCGGTTGGCTCGGCGTCGTGTAGTGTTAGCGCGTCATCCGTGCATTCCAAATGAGAAACATATTGTGAATCATCATAGCTAGATGTCTTGCTCAATGGAATCCAGTGTTGATCAGTTTGTTCATAGTCGCGTGTCCACTCAAGTATTGCCGCGCTGGAGCGCATATTAGTCTCGTGAACCTTTCCCCCTCCATTGGGGGCGTGTGGAAGATGAGACCCATCAGCCATGACCAGTTTATTAAACGCGTCGTATCTGAGTACACCAGCGGCATTTGTCTCAGGGCAATCTTGAACAAGATGGCCTATGCCATCGCATACATCGGTCATCAGGAGACCGGGTAAAACAAGGCCTGTCCGTAAGGCAAGCTAATTTGATTGTCAATGTGTTCATGCGCTCCGCAAGATCGTCCAAATTGACTTCGTGAACTGTGTCCTGGGGGCTCGCAACATCTGTCTTGGTCTCAATGACCTCGGCATCTTCACTAGCCTCAGCTGCTCTGAACTTGAATCAACATCTTCTTCCTGAGTGCCTTAGCTGTTGTGCGACGGGATGAGGACACAGCCTCTGCTTCTGAGTAAGATCCCTCATCACCGGAATCCTCACTAACTGTGTTGTCGCTGCAATCATCAGAATCTTCAGCGGAACACTTGCTTGCTGAGTCTGAATCGTCATCGGACTCGTCGACACAGTACAGATCACATCGTAAAAGCTCCTTAGCTGTCGCTACAACGTAGTCCATGGGAGGAGCATGGGTCAAATCGATCCACCGGTTGCGGGCCTTGAGTTCTGCTTAACTCGTCTGCGGAATGTAGTTGGCTTAAGTCCACGATAAAAATAGTCGTCCTTATCGCTTGCATTGAGCGCGTTCCTCTGCTCAAGGGGTCGGCAATGACTTGGAAACGGCGGCGGTAGTCATCAAAATCTTCAGAGTGCTTGATCTTCCGCCTCTTTTCAACAAATCTTCGGAGATCTCTTGTGTGATATGTGCAGTCTTCTTGCTCATCTGAGTAAAAACTGAGCAGGTCACTCTTTAGCGCGTTCCAGTCCTTATTCTCGTAGCTATCAAGGGTCCGGATAAAGGTGGCTTCCTTTTCTGTGGAGTAGGACACAACATAATCGCATTTCAATTGATTTGCGAGGCGCGCGGCTGCTGTCTGGAGCTCGAACTCGTATAAAAACTTCTTCAACTTGGTGCCCTTGAACCTCGGGGCGTCTCTAGAGCGTGGGCTGGGCATTGGCATGTAAGACATTGGCGCTGCAACAGCAAAACTTGCAGCCATCTTGAAAGGTTAACAAAACACGCGGAAAACTTGGATCGGCTTCTTGGATGTCGGGCAATCGAAGGAACGGGGGTAAACGAGCGTATTGCTGGGTAAAACGAGGGCAATTTGGTACAACTTTTGGGTGAAACAGCAAGGACTTAGCATCAATTCCTTAGTGTCGGCGCTAAGTCGGGTATCCTTGTACGGTACCGAGAGTCAGCCGGTGCTGTCTCACAACACTTTCCATACTTGTCTCTATTCCAGTCTACTGCCAACCGGCCGCACTGAGTTGTGCTTCTTTAGTGCACACTTATCTTACCCCCCACCTATTATAATTCTTGGGATCATAGGCATTTGCGCCTTTCCCATGTTGTGTTCATACCTGTTAAACTGCCTCACTGAGATGCCGGATAGTGCGGTATCCACAGCTACAGGCCGAGTCCTTATATACATAGTCAGTGTTGTAACTAGAGTGCGTGTGGATGATCGTGATGAGGTGTCGGACGGTGCTAGTGACGTGCATATCAATTTGGCAGGGAGGGATGAACACTGAGCCACAGCTGGTGATGCATTGGCATCAGAGTGCGCAGCAGTGCGACTCAGATCGGCGTTGGAGGCCGCACAATCAACAGAATGCTGATGTGCTGCCAATCTGACGCGTGGGGGATTGGGTGTTGACGTGGAGTCGACGCGTCCGGAAGCCAACATTGATGCAACAGGGACACCTCCACGATCCGATGTGACGTAGCAACCCGACGTGGTGCAGCGACAAGGATGGGCCACTAGGCACCTTATCGCCGATGTGGCGCACCGAGTCACACACAGATATTGCGACTACCCGCACTGGCGGCGGGATGGACACTATTATCTCTCTAACCTCATGTTACGCGCCACTTTGTATTTCTTTTATCTTGATTGGCCACCCGAACATGTATATAATGTCCGCGACTTGGCCAGAACACGATATCTAACTATCGGATTGATATTGCGTTCAGACACCTGCCGGCTGATAACAGGTTCATCAACTTGTGGCATGAACAGCGTCCAGCACGATGCTGCTCTATCCAGGCAGGCTTACAGAATGGTTTAATTAGCCATTAGATGCAAGGGGAGTGTAACCACAAACCTGGACACAGATGGACTAAAATGTTAAGTTACTATGGCGTCGTGATGCCTTCCCCCCAAAACGTGATTGTACGGTCCAGGTTTTCCACAAGTTTTCCAGCCAAGTGGATTCGCCCTTAACCGCCTGTGGCGTTGGGCTGTTACTTCCAACAATACTCTGTAGCATATAATATATCAGTGTGCCCATTTGTCAGGAAATTGTCATGGTTTGGCCAATTAGAAGCAACCGATGACTTAGAAATGCGACACGTTTATTATGTAAAAATGGTTTCAGAAATTGGCCATTTGGCTGGTTCTAATGAACCTGTCACTTCTTTCTACTCAGCAAAACCACCCAAACTTAACCACGACATTTTTTTGATGTTGACTGGCCATTCTCACACATGAACGGTGTCATTTGTACAAACAAAATATATGTACAAACGGGGGGGGGAAGGAGAAAGGAAAGATCTTGCCACATTACTGGCCCTCACCAGCTATTCCTGGGTGTCTGGTGGGAAAGGATGGATCTTCTCAACAGCTTCCATCATGCTCTGACGGAAGCAAGATGCCTTGGTATCGAAGTCCTTCTGCACCGTATCATCAAGGTTATCAACCTTGTATGCATGGTTGGCGATCCTGAGGTCACGGAACTCGTCGAGGAGTTTGGAACATTCATCTGGTTCTTGGTCCTGACAGTGGCGACAGAGTGCCTTTGCCATTGCAGTCAGATTTGGTTCATGTTCCCCAACGAACATCATGGCCATAGAAGCCAGCGCGAAGAGGTTGACAGAGTTTGGAGAGTGAGGAATCTGTCCCTCTGGAGTGGATAAGGCACGCACTGCCTTCAACACCATGGCCATCAGGCACGTAGTGACTGTGGAACTCCAAGCATCCTCGCTTGCTGATTGATCAGCAGAGCTACGATCCAACCAGCTTGCAAAGAACGAGCGCTTCATGCACCCAGCAGCAAGGAAGTACGATGCTTGCATGATAGATCCCGGGCTGACCTCACCATCATCGTCAACCCTTCGAGATAACGTGGCATAGGCATATATTTGGCCAGGGGGGAAGATGCTGAAGATAAAGTCATCGAAGGGGCACCCTTTACAAGAGGCAGCAAGATTACTTACACTGTTTGGCCAGGGGAAAGAACGAATGAGGAGAAACGATGTGGAGCTTCATACAGATATTCGAAGCCCAGAGCAAGAGGTACGTCCACATCCTGGAAATTGACGATGACTTGTTGGTCATCTCGTAAGATAGGGATGAAGAAAACGATGTGTCCACTAGTGCAGTGAAGACTAATGCCAACGCCGTTGGGTGGCTGGTGGGGGGGGTGTATAGAACCCACAGCTGAGATAACCGGCCCTCTCCAATCCTGAACACGAAATGGGCGATCTTCCAGACGGAAATCCACAAGCGCTGCATCGTGGGTATTGAGAAGCCTGAGCGACTCATGTGAGCTACATAGTTGCGGAGTAAACAGACACACGTACCTCTCTATCGGCTGATACTCGGTAGCGGCTGTTGAGGCATGGGCGATGATCAACGGCCTGGAGTTCTGCCAATCACACATCTCCTGAGCAGCATCCCCCGCTCTCATCTCTAGAAGCTGCTGATCTCCGGTTGATGAAACATCATCCGAACCTAAAAATCGGTTGAAGATGGAAAGAATGGGCAAAGAAAAGAACTCACAGATGCAGCGAACCTCAGACCGAAAGTCCATGAGCCCAAAGAGCGCTGAAAGGTCGAAGGCGATAGGCTCTGGTTGGCCTACCAAGACCACAGGACTCCCTTTGTTAACGATACTCTGAAAGGCTGGTGGTGTCATTGCCAGTGCTTTCTGTGTTGTCATTACGACCGGCTCCCAGTCAGCTTCATGGAGCTGTTTCGCTTCCAAATAGCGCTTAAAGCTATGGATCGAGGCCTTCAATGCTATTAGTAGTCAGTGTGAGGAGGAGAAGGTGAACGACCTACTGAATCTGGGGAGAATGGAAACACGAATGTCTCTTGATGAAGAGATCCTTCTCCATTGACCAGTGACACAACACGTAGGTCCGCCAGAAAAGTCGCCTATGGAACTGTCAGCCCCATTTGGCTGACAACATACATTGGAAACTAGTTACCTTGGAGCTTGGACCTGCGTTAGGTGAAGTCCCCCTGAAGGTCGCTGAGAAATCCAGCGATGTGCCCAAGCTAGAGACGTCGTTCCAGGAGTTGACATCTTCACAAGAAAGTAGGAAAGCCTCTGTTTCCTCCTTGGTCACAATGACTTCTTCGAAGCGCTTGTTGTCAGATTCGCTTTCATCCGGCACAGGGTTCTGTTTCTTTTTCTTTTTCTTCGGCTGGCGATTATCTGGTAACTCTGCAGGGGGGCGTTTCTCTTGAGCAGATTGGGGGTGACGTGGTGGCTTGGGAGCGGTGGGTTTGGAAGATCGGGGGTGACGTGGTGGCTTGGGAGTGGTGGGTTTGGAAGATCGGGGACGAGCAGGATTTGGGGTGGTGGTGCTCTGGGAAGTGGCGGACTGGGAGGTGGTGGGCACGGCGGGCGGGAGGGCAGCGGACTGGGAGGTGGGTGCTGCGGGCTGGGGGGCTGCAGGCGGGCGCGCAGCGGGCTGGGGGGGGCTGCGGGACTGAGGAGGTGGGCGCGGCAGGCGGGGGCGCAGCAGATTGGGAGGTGGGCGCGGTGGGCTGGGAGGAAGTGGCAGTGGAATTTGTCTGCGCTGCCTCGCTGACTTGGGGCGGGGACTGGGAGGTGGGCACGGCAGGTGGGGGCGCAGCAGATTGGGAGGTGGGCGCGGCGGGAGGGGGGGCAGCAGACTGTGAGGTGGGCACGGCGGGCTGGGAGGAAGTGGCGGTGGAATTTGTCTGCGCTGCCTCGCTGACTTGCCCACCCGTGCCCTCCTCCTCTGTCCCATCAATCTCGGGGGAAGGACCAGTGACATAATTGGTGGGCTCCGGAATAAATGGCAAAACTGCTTTCCATGCGTTGCGAAGCACGTCAAGGTCTGGTTCGCCCATGCGACCTGTTTCTGAAACAGAAATTATGATACTGAGAAGGGCATCCTCGAGTAACTTGTGAGGGCCCTGAGGCTCACTGAATCCCCCCTGCAAGGTAGCGTATGACAGCAAGTTGTTGATGGTGGGGAGGGTAGATGGGTTTGTGAGATTGGTGTCGAGGAGTAAGACGAGCGGAGAGACCAATATGGCCATTATGAGGGGGCTGACATAGGAATAACTGAAACATCGTCAGTATGACCCACCTGGGATAAGAAGGAGGCATACCGTTCGGTGGTGAGGCAGAATTTCGTTTTCTGTATTGTCGATCTTAGTGAAGAAAAAAGATGATGAATTTAGTGATACTCACAAAAAACTCCAGTGGTCCTACCTCACACATCTCTCTCAGAGCGGCCGCACAATAATAAATGTGACTGATTAGGCGTAGCTGCTGGGAGTTCGTTTCTAGATGTACCGCATGGTCGATGAGGTGTTGTAAAGTGGGGACTTGGGCATCAGGAAGAATGGGGCAGGAGGTAGAACCAAGTTGAAGGAGATTGGGGGGCTCCCTGCGTAATGCAGTAAGGCGATCTATAACATTGCCTAACCAGTACTGGACGGTCCGCCTGTTGCTCTTATCAAATGTAAGGGTGCCACCGGATAGGCTTGAATCGAAAGTGTACTTATGACAACCTGACCAGTAAGTGCGAACCAGCAGCATAGAAGAAATGATCAATGGAAAGATTTCTCTGCCTACTCGTGCTTTGAAAGTGGGCAGATGTGACGTCGGACTCAGCACAAGGTCTGGCACAAGATCCTTTCTCCAGGGGCCAAACTTCCGCACTGTCTCAACGAGGACTTGGTAAAAACAAGACTCATCCTGGGGCCCAAAGTCGTCCAAAGCATCTTGAACCAGATCCGAAAAATTTTCGAATTCCTTGGGCATGGACATTGCGACGGTGAATTCGGCCAACGCCGCTATATATATAGCACTTGGCACATGACTACGTGTGATCGGCATATTTGACACTTGCCTGGACAACATAATCATCTACTCAAACCGAATTTGTTGAAGTTTCTTGTTGTACACTGTGGACTGCTCATTGAGTCCTATGAATTAAATTTCTTGCGCACGGACTTTTCCCTGAAGGATTGCCCGATGCTTCCACGTTGATGGACGCAGGCTTAAAAGCCACCTCGCGCAATTTTCCTCTCCTCAGTACTTGGAACTGAGGTGAGATCTCCTTCATCCTTTGACGTTCTAACGTTGTATGTACTCTTAGACAGTCTAATCGGTCTTAGCCGAAGTAGTAAACTTGGGCCGGCAACAATTGCCATTCGAAGGAGCGGCCTAGGGCGAGCGGTAAAAAAGTGACGGTATTATAGGATGGTGGAGGGGTGGGAGGTGGTGAGATAAGATGATTGATACAAGACTAGGCCGTGATTAATGTAGGCGGTCTACACGCTGCGCATCGAAGGCCAAATGGCCAGTGAGAGTGCTTTGAATCAGCAACGGGTTCTGACGGAGGCAAATGAGGAAGTTGCTCCTCCTGAGCGGAAAGAGTGTCCAGCGACGTTAAGATCGTTAACAACTGCTTGCAGATGGGAATAAACCAAAAACGTAATGGTAATTTTCTGGACTCGCGAAGCCACAAAATCAGGGAGATGTGCAAATTTGGCGCCGAGTTCAGGACCTGTAGCGGATCAAGAGAACCCCCCCCCCGCGCTTCTTCGAGGACAGTGGTGTTGAAACATTGACATGCACCCACTCAAAGCACCCAATCCGGACTCGCTCCGCTTAGCCGGGTGGCACCTTTCCTATTCTGGCCACTCCTTTGCGCCCCCTTGTCGCGTTGGGGATTGTGCTCTGACGCCCTTTGCCTCC